CATTACCAACATCCAATAGAACAGAATATACCTCACTCTTCCAAAACACAAAAGGTTTAATGAGGAAATATGGCACCAAAGCAAAACTGAAAACCAGCAAAGAAATTTCCAAATCCTATGACTCCATGTCTGATGTCGAAGGGCTCAGAAGGCTCTGTCCTGGCTTTGCTGACTAAAACACACTTCTATCTCAGTCTGGTTCTACTTCCTGTATACAATTCTTCCTGGAAGATATTCCACAGACTATCATTTCTAACATCTTGGGGACTCCAACACAATCCAAGCTTTGCTTTCAAAGCTTCATTCAATGGCATCTCAGGTCCTCACTGAAGGAATCCCTGGGTCACAGGCTTGGCCTTAGTGGCTTGCCTTAACCAGACAGGAGGTTTCCACAGACTCTTTAGTCCAGCATCCTTCATTACTCTAAAGCTGGAGCCAAGTTTCTACCAGGTTTGGCTGCCTGCTAGGGCTGGTATTTGGCCCCCCTTTTAATAAAACCTTCACAACCTTTGACTGTTTGTTGCTCTTTAGGGCAAATTATTTGTAGGCATTTTCTTTTTACAAGATGCAGTGTTAGCTGGGTAGATTCTTAGTCTGAGTGCATCACTCCCTTTATTCCATTTCATTTCAGCCCTATATTTCCTCTTTAAGCAAAAGTCCCAACTTAAATTTCCTGCTGCTCATTTTTCTCCTTAAACTGTACATTTTGCTTTTGGTTTTGCCTTGCTTGCTCTTGTTCACTGAGACCTGCAGAAAAATGATTGCTAATAACAATGTGACAGACTCAATAATAGGCTCTCTTGAAATGCTCTCTGCCAATGAAATTATTCTAAAACTCTTTGATTAGCTTCAGGCAGATTCTTAAGACTAGTGCAAAAAGCAGCCACATTCTTCACCAAAATATCCCAAGAATGGTTTCTAGTCCAGTTTCTAATATTGTTAACCTCCCAAATCTCATGAGCTGAGTCTCTATAATCCACATTGATCTCAGTACCACTGTCTTCCAAGTTCTTACCTGATTTGCCCATCAAGCCCCACTTACAGCATTCAACTGCTTTTCAAGTCCAAAGTCACAAAGTCTTCCACATACCGTGACCATGCCTTTCATGGCAATAGACTACTCACTGGTGTCCACTTCTGTCTTAAACACTTTTCTATTGCTTTGATGAAATACCATGGCCAAGGCAACTTATAAAATAAAGAGTTTAATTTTGGTCTTATGTTTCCAGAAGACTGGAGTATTATGACCTCATGACAGGGAACATGGCAGCTAGTAGTCAGACACATCATAGAAATAGTAGCTGAGAGTTTACATCCAGAAAGCAAAGAGAGAGACCCTAGATATGGTTATACCTGTGAAACCTCAAAGCCCACCTCCAGTGACACACCTCCTCTAACAAAACCATACCTACTTCAAAAGTGAAATAAATCCTAATCCTTTTTCAACAGTTCCACTAACTGGGGACCAAGTATTAAAACATATGTGCCTAAGAGGGCCATTCTTATTCAAACAACCACAGATATATTACTTTTCTTTATTTCATTCCTTTGTGTCTCTTTTTCTTCCTTTAGGGATTGAATCCATGTCCTTAAACATGCTAGACTACCACCTATTTCACTCTGCAATCCTTTGTGTAATATCAAAAGTCTTAGTTACTTCCAGTGTAGAATCAGTGGTTTGGTCTCTCTATTATCACAGCTTGAAAATAGAAATCATATTCCAGGCCCCTGTGACGTTTCTAAGAGAAAAGGAATGTATGAACTCATTGTCAGAGAAAAAGGAAACTGTGAACCTTATGATATATAAAAGGGGCATAACTATGTTGGAGCATGGATTCTGTAACAGCTTTTTATCTAAAATATTGTTAAACTCATGGACTTTTGTTATATAATAAAGAATATTGTTTGGATACATTTTTATGGAAGAATGGGAGAATAAACTGTTATGACCACTTCATGGGATACTTTTAATTTCAATAACAACAAAAATTAATATCATAGAACACTCAATTTGTGGAAAATATTAATTACAAATTATCTCTTTAAATTTTCAAAGTTCTACTTAATAAAAGTTATGTTAATAATTTTCACATAAGAGGATATTAGAAGGGGGAAGTATATGAAAGGAGTCCAAGACTGCCTATGATGCTGCTTTGTAACAAATGCATGCTTGTTCAGCTGTGATTGGAGACTTTCCTGCTGACTGTTAAGTACAGATAAGTTCTTCAAAATAAAACACCAAAACAGTGCAGAGAATAGGATTGCTAAATTATGTATGCTATTGAAAACTGATGTTGAAGCTCAGAGACCGTAGTGCTTAGGCTCTTATTTGCCAGTTCTTGAGGTCATGTTTTCTAGAGTATCCCCCGAATCACTAAATTCATCATAATCTCATTTTGTTTTCAGATAACATTGGCAATTATATTTATCCTGAACATCATACATTAACATCCTACTATATTTTCCCAATTTTTCAGCATGAAAGTTTTGTGCATGTGCATTTTTATTGTGCCTACAAAGGAAATACAGTAGCTTACATTACACTCATAATGAAATATCTACCACATGGACACACAGTAATGTTTACTAAATTGAATAGAATTGACAGACATAAAGATGAAATAAACTGGGTAAATTAGTGCCTTTGTAATTCCATCTGTCATAAAACCAAACATTAGAGATGGGAGTTATTGCCTCAAATCACTCATTGCTGATTTACTGTGAATATGATCACTTATGTTTTTCAAAAATTTTTTAAAAGGCTCAAAACAAATTACAGAAACTATTTACTTGCTGGTTTTCATATGCAAATTTTATAGTATCTCTAGTTTTATCTATTATATTGTATTTATACCCTATATAAAAATCCTGTATATTTCATATACTCTAGTATAAAGCTCTTATTAAGTCAAATTATCAGTAAAGGTTTTGTTCAATATGTATTTACTTTTCAACAAAATTTATACATATCGTCAAAGTGGTCTTTTAAATACAGAAATTTCTTGATTGGAAAATTAAGAAAATACTATCTTTCCTCTCCAAACTCTTTTTTGATTTCTTTCATTGCTTATCCCTGAAGCCAGGAAGACCTGGAAGGCTGGCCGCTCTGGAAACACACATGCACACAGTTTTCTGCCTTGCATACAATCCTCTCACTTTCAGATTCCCTTGTCCCCTCCTATATCCCCTTGCCTAACGTTTCCCTTTGAGAGGAACACAGAATAGAAATCACTTCCATTCTGAGGCCTTCTGGAAACTTCTAAAATTAGGGTAGGTCCTGTTGCCATGACATCCATAATATAGGTGTTTCTATCAGGCAGAACATTTTGAAATTTTGTTTTCTTATTGGCCTCCCACACCATAATACAAGTTTGTAAGAAACCCTGCCATCTTGATGGTTAATTCCTTCTTAATTTTGTGTAGAAAATACATATAAAACGAGAAACCAGATGTTTTTAATTAGCACAGTGTTCTTTCTTTGCACATTATTAGGTTTGTGTGGTGTTCATTTACTTTGTGTGGTGTCCTTAAAGGATGGCAATCCGGGGACCAGTGAGATGGCTCAAAGAATAAAGGAGCTTGCTGCTAAGTATCACAACCTGAGTTTGATCCCTGGAACTGACGGCTGGAAGTTGTTCTCTGACCTCCACATACAGCTGTACCATGGCCCCACTAAAAATTAAATGAAATAAATATAAAGGAAAACATTTCAAGTTTAGGAGTTTATCATACAAAGAAAAGGAATAATTTAAGAAATATTATGCATAAATAAGTGATGTGAAAATCATTAAAGATCGTAATTATGTGTATTCTCTCTGAAAGTTTACATGATAATTTCTTACCTAAAATTAAAATAACTAGGGAAAAGATGATGGATCTCCATTGCACAGTAATTAGGAATGAACTTAATTAATATTTTTTTTTATGATTTCTTGCACCACTGTTGACTCTCCTGTCAATATTATTTACTAGTTACATGTAAACACACCATGATAAGTAGATTATGTAAGTCGGGTATATGGAATTTTGTGATGGTAAACTACTTTACCTTTGAGTGCACAAATCCAGCTTAGAGTGAAGACAGCCTCCCATATGTGTGTTCCATGTCTCCATGAACAGAGGCTCCCCAAGGAGCTGAAGAACACCCCTTTTGCACTGCTACATTTTGATTGCATTTTCCTGTTTCTGTCAAAGATAGTTATTTTGAAATTTGTCCTCATGGAGAATTGCTTGATTTCTCCATTTATACTTGTCAATTGGGGAATCTCCTAGTAGTGCAAATTAGACTCTTTGTGAGACTTCTTACTGCAATCAAGTCAACTTCATACACCATCTTTAATGCTTCTTTTACTGATGTTATTTCATAGTACAATCAAGCCTGCTATTTTCTAAAACACTAGTACAGCATCCAAAACATTAAAGATTTAAGTTTTTCTAATGCACCAACTCTTCAGGATTAAAAGAAGTATGTGGTGTGTGTGTGTGTGTGTGTGTGTGTGTGTGTGTGTGTGTGTGTTATTTTTGAACTTTTTATGATAAAAGTTTATCTGCCAGTAAAAAAAAATAGCTTTAAAAACTGTACGGTCAATAGTCAGATAATGCAAAAATAATGTAATTATTTCCACCCCCCCCAGCTTAAATTACTATATTGGTATTGTATTTCTCAGTTCAAATTAATGAACCCTTTCCTCCATAATGTAGGATGTATTTGACACGACAAATATCAGAGCCCTCCCTTCATCATTAAATTGGGCAAGTGTAACTCACTGGTTCTCAAACTGTTAAATGGATATTAGGGCTTTTAATGAATGGAACAGTTATCTTTGTGCCAGCTTAACTAACAACACTGACATGATTAGCATACATTTTGGCAACTGTTCTAGCACAGAGTCTTAGGAAAAAGAAGCTTTTATCTTTAAGCTTAATCGACTTTAGCTTTCCCTGATATTTCTGTTTTTAATGTGAATAAAATTATGTGTAAAGGAAATCCTACAACAAAATTATTTTAAAATACATAATTTTATTAAGGTTATAGATATTTCTCATGCAAGAAACAAGTCCAGTAGCCACCCCCTTTAACACACGAATCATGTTCGAATTTTGAAATGAATAGAATATTTATTTTTCTCTTTATAATGTTGGCAAAAGTCATGGAGCTCGTGGATGACTTGTTTTTTATTAATGGTGCTACATATCTTTTATGTAGTTCCTCCTTTGATAAAAGAAACTAAATAAAACATGACTAGAAAGGATGTTTTCCTATTTTGTTACATAAGAGCTGTGAATGAACAATTTATGGGCTTACATGGCCTTATAAGTCTCCTAGTTCAAGTACCTATCATACAAAAGGAACTTTCATGAAAATATATTGATTTTTTGTCTCAAACTCTGCTGCCTTATATATTTATTTATCCAGATATCCAAGTTGAAGAAAACAAAAATATGTAATTAATATAAATCTAATAAATCCTGTGTTTGTGTTTAAGTTTTTTTTCTTCATGGTGTGTTATTAACTTAAAAATTATTGCAAGCTAGTGAAACACAGCAAACAAAAGTTTTGCTGGAATGTGAGAGAAAAGTTACACTGATATTAAATTTATAATTAGTTAATATGAATATACACGTGCATGGGTGTAAGTTTTCATAAGAACTTATACATACCAGCATACTCTCTTCCATATATGCTACAATTATACACACCCTTAATAATTTACCCAATGCTTAAGTAAGTCATGAATTAGTTTAATATAAACTTTAGCATAGCAGAATACTACAATTTAATCCTAAAAACAAACAGACACCAATAGCAGGCACTTCAGTGAAAGAACAAGCCCATGTTCAAATATAAAATGGTAGAAACAATCAAGAAATTATGAAAATATATACCTTTAATTTGCAGACATATAAACAATTTTGGTACGGTACAGACACATGATGATGATAAGTAAAGTGACGCATTTGAAGCTAACACATTTCTCGTTTACACTGACAGCTTCTCTATAGTTCTTACATAAAATAAAATCTCCATCTCATGCAAAGAAGGACAAGTTAGAAATCACTGACAAACCAGTTTTCTTCATTGCAAAAGAGTCAGTAAAAACTAAATTATCAAAGGAATCTGCTTACAAATAAACCATTGGATGTTTTCCAGAACCAAAGAAAGGAGCCAGAATGGTAGCCAATGGAGCTAAACAACTACAGAGAAAGTATCACGTTCGCATAAAATGCCTAACTAAAACAACCAATAGTGAACACTAGCTTTCAGAGGAATTTAACTTGAATGCAACTTTTATTTTTTCTCACGTGGTGGATGAATACAATCATACACAACCTGACATATAATCCAAGAACAAACTGTTGCTGACAAGCTGAGGATGCACTGACGTCGTCGTCAACACCGAGCCAGCAAGCGGGGATTGATAGCCCGGTGTGCTTCTTGTGTAACGTCTAGTTTACTTTTCACAAAAAGAGTCCACAAATGATGCCCACCTCCTGTAACTCTAGCAAGTAAGTGCAGTGGTAAAGCCGACCGGCAGCAGGGGGACATATGCAAAAGAGTGCGCTTTTCAGCAGGTCAAATCTGTAACACATGGCAATGTTTTGATGCTTGCCCAACATGAATTGCACTTCTTTTAAATGTCCTCTCTTTCAAACCATAATTGATGTCCTTAAGAGGTAATGAATCCTGTTTCCAAGTGGATTTCTTTTCATTCTTATCATATATTTAAGTAGGGAAATTCGATTTACTTTAATTTTATATTTAATGTGAAAAACAACATATTTTAAAATATACTCTCTCGTTAATGTACAACAACCATCATGTACAATACTGCAGTTCCCTGCAAAGGGTCATCTGGTGCCCTCTTGTGGTGAAAAGACATTTTAGAACAACAAAAACGTACTTTTCTTACCTTAGTCTTGAGTTTTGTCAGTCATCTGCTTGGTGTATGGGAGCTGCCAGTTATGTCCAGCGTTTTATATATTTATATATAAATAACAATGATATAGCTGTTAGTACTAATTTTCATTTAAAAATTCTGTACACATTTTATAACCTCTGAATTTGAATTAAAAACCTGTAAACAGCTATTTACAATATGTTACAAGTTATAAATTAGTTGTCCTCCAGTGGAACTGCATTAGCACATCCTTGTTTGCGTTGACAAAGACTACTCATGGCAGTTAAAACATCCCTCTCTGTTATTCCACAATGAAACATCAAATATTAGAAATATCCATTGGTTTCCTCTCTCTCATACACAAGTCAATTTTTCCTTTCAGGGGAATTTGTACTTCCAAATTTTCGTCTTCCCTGTGATGCTTTTTACCTTTCCGTAAGCAGATATAGATGCCCATCCCTGTTACTAGTGTGATGGAACCCAGGCTGATGACAGACAGAGCTACTAATGTGGGCATACAGGACACAGACTCTGCCTTCCTATGAGTTGGTTCTATTGAGATTTGTGGTTCTTTCTCTTCTATATTAATTTCTGGTTCTTTTCTTAAAAGACTCTCAATATAGCTTTCGTTACTGACAGTGTCATTGACAAATAGGTTCACCATGACAGTGGAATGCAGAGGCTCGGGGTAGCCATGGTCACTCACTTTCACCAGTAAGCGATGCAGTCCATAATCTGTCTGCAGCAAAGCTTCTTCCAGAGTTATGTTGCCAGTTTTAGGGTCAATTCTGAAGGACTCAGGCCTGGGACCTCTTCTCCCTATGATACTGTAAGCTATGACAGCATTCATGCCTGTATCTTTATCAACAGCATAGACCTCTGTAACTGGTGAGCCAGGGAGAGTGGAAGGTAGGACCAACAGATAAGACATATTAGACTGAGGAAATAAGACAAGAGGAGGGTTATCATTGATGTCCAGAAGGAGAATTGTGATTTTTGTGGTGGAAGAAAGGGCAGGCTCACCCCCATCGACAGCTTCCACCCACAGAGTGTAAGAGCTTTGCTGCTCTCTGTCTAAAGAGACTTTAGCTCTCAGCATGCCCTTTCCTGTATCTATGACAAAAATGTCACTCTGGTTTACCACTGAAAGGGCTACCCATCCATTCCTCCCAGCATCGGCATCTGTTACACTAATGACTCCAATTTCACCATATCCTGGAAAGTTTTCTGGCACAAAAAAGCTGAAGTCCTTGTTGATGAACCTGGGACTGTTGTCGTTTTTATCCAACACAGTGAGAGCCACTGTAGCCACAGATTCTCTGGGTGGCTTCCCACAGTCCACAGCACGGACAGTGTACCTATACTTTTCTTTCTCTTCTCTGTCTAGCTGGGTAGAAACGGTCAGAATCCCTGTGACACTGTCTAAGGAAAAATATGATGGTGCGTCTGGCCCCAGGAAATAGGAAACTTGCCCCCTCTCACCGCTGTCAGCATCCGTAGCATAGAGCTTCGTTAGAAAGGCATTGGGCGCGTTGTTTTCTTCAATGGTCAGTTCTATCAAAGGTTGAAGGAAAACAGGAGCATTGTCATTGTCATCTAAAAGTTGTACTTTAACGACTCTCTTGACATGAAACCCTTCCGAGTTCCAGGCCACTACAGCTATTTCATAGAATTGCTGCTGCTCATAGTCCATAGGTTTCGTGGTCTCCAACAGATATTCATTGTTGTACGGCTTGTAGGGTGCTAGCCTAAATGGCCCTTCACCATCGAGGTAGCAGTTAATCTTGGATTTACCTTCTGGATCTCTTATGGTGAAAAACGCAATTGGGGTGTTAACAGGCTCCAGTTCTTTTAGATACACAACCCCATCCATCTCATTTGCAATATAACGTGGGACGATTTCTGGGGGTCTGAAAATGACTTTGATGATGGACACAAGAGCAGTGATTACTGCAGGGATACAGCCTGGTCCATTAGCAAGGATGGTGAGCTTATGTGTCTGTAGAACACTCCCACCAATCGTACTGAAAAGTTTAATGACTCCAGTCGTCTCATCCAGGTGGAACAAATCCTTGGATTCCTGTGGAACTTTCTGGCTGTAACTGTAAGTGATCTGTGCGTTGGTCCCTAAGTCTCTATCGACAGCCTGGACAGCTGCAATGGGGGTGCCCACTGTAGCATTTCCATAGACGGTGACATTAATTTGCGAGTCTATAAAGAGAGGACAATTGTCATTAATGTCACTTATGCCAATGGTGAGGGTGGCACTGCCCAGCAGTGGTGGGGAACCACCATCCTCAGCTATGATGATGCTTACATACTGGTCCTGGGTTTCTCTGTCCAAAGCACCCATGACAATCAAGTAGGGGGTTCGTTCCCCATTCTCATTCTCCTCCACATCCAGGGTAAACATGCCATGGTAGTCCAGTAAGCGATAGGTTTGCACTCCATTGATGCCTACATCGGGGTCCACGGCTGGGTGCTCTATCGCCAATCGGGTGTTTACAGGTGAATTTTCCGGGACCCAAACAGAGATTTCAGAAATTGGGAACTGTGGAGCATTGTCGTTGATATCCCTGATGGCAATTTTCACCTTTACAAACCTAAAATATTCCTGAGGCAGGACCAGCACATCCAGAAGCAAAAGGCAAGAGTCAGAGGAAGGAGAGGAGGCAATGGAGGTGCTGCCGCCCCAGGCAGTCCCTCCGCCCCCATCGAGACACAGCGCTTCTCTGTCGATCTCCTGGGCAGAAGTGTGCAGCTCCCCGGAGCGGTTGTCTAGGGTCACATACTGGCCACTCAGCCCTCCAGAGGCCAAGCTGAAAGAGAGAGGGGGGTTCCCCTCAGTGGCAGTGCGCTCTGGATGCAGCAGTTGCTGACTCTGCCTCCCAGAGGCCCGGGGCAGCAGCCTTAGGTCTTCGGCCAGGCTGCCTATGAGCACCCCCGCGGGCAGTCCCTCGTTTAGGCTGTACAGAAGCTCGGTGGCACGGCTGTAACTCGCGAGGCAGTTGAAGGGTCCCACGAAGAGGAAAAGCAGAAAAACATGCTGGAGTGAAGGGAGGGGAGAAGGTGATTACACACTCCCGGAAGCAGAGAGGGGAGTTAGGACGGAGTGACCCCCGCCCGGGACAACGCTAAATCCTCATTCCCCTTTCCACAAACAAAACCTCTCATTGCAAGCGCAAGCAATGAGAGGAAACTTGCTGCCACAGAGGGAGGTCTGTGGAGCAAAGCTGTCATGAAACTTACTCCTTTTTCCTCATCTTATATTCTCCCCACTCCCACCCGGTAGGATCACTAGCCTCGTCTAGCTAACATTTACAATCACAAATCGTATGGCATTGGGTCCCTGGAAACACACAGCAGAGAAGACTTGGACTCAAGGGCTGCGCAACGCGACAGGCAACCTCTTTAGGTTATGGGGAAAGAAGGAGATGGTGGCAGAAAGCGCTGAGCGGTGAATGATTTACTTCTCATTGAAATGATTCTGCCATTAAGGTCCCCAAACACCTAACGTGTTACACTCATTTTCTATGAAGCCACCATAAGCAACAGCATCAACACCAATAATAATAACAACAACAATATGGAAAATTGAGACATAATCCCTACCTGCTCCCCCCCCCTTAGATGGGGGGGGGTTCATTTTAGTTTGCACATAAAAATCAAACCAAATGATCTGAGTCCCTATCTCTTATCATGCCTTCTACCTCCTGCCAAGCTTAGGACCCAGCAATGTAAACCCGGAAAATTATTATGCAAAAGCATTTGTCAGTTGCAGCAGACAGTTAGAAGCTTACATCGGCCACAGGAATCAATTCTTACACCCCTGAATATAAAGAGAATTGAGGGCACCCTCGGCCCTCCGCCTCATGCAACATTTCTGCTTCAGAAACTTCCTTTCTCAACCCGAGGGACGAAGCTATTTGCTAAAATACCATAGGCGCTGTATCCAAAACTCCGTTCTCCCCCTCCCATCTTCTCCTGAAGTTTGCATTATGGGAAAACGTTTGAAAACACCGTCAAGGAGTAGGAACAGCTGGAGAGCATTGCAACTTCTGGGGGACCCAGGGTTTCTGCATCCTTACCGTCAGGTTCCTGTGGCTGGTACTGCTCCTGGGACGATGTAGATGCCCCATATCCAGGCACGGGTGCCAGGTCGCCGGGCGCAAGCTCACTGCCTGGACCAGCGAGCTGCGCGCGTTCCCTTGGCCGCGCATTCCCTGGGAGGCTGCAGTCAGCGCGCTCCAGAAGGGAGGGTGGCGGAGGACACTCCCTCCCCGTTCATGCAAATCGCTAGGGAACTTCAGCCAATAGTCACTGGCCTGTCAATTAAGACCAGGAACTCGGATGCACCGGAAAGCCCAGGGCCAGAAGGGGACATTTACAGTGTCCACTCCTGGACATGATATGTCCACAGCCCGCCAAAGAAGCTGGAACAAGGACTGGCTCTTCAAGGCTGCTAGGAGATGCCACTAGGTCTGGCACCAAAGCGCCTGTCAACCAGCCTTGCTCTTTATTGCGCCAGTTAAATCCCAAGTCCACATGTTGCTCGCAAAAGAGGGAGAATTAAAATAAATCAAGACCACATTGGTATCCGAAGGCACAAAAGCGGTTCCACAAAATCCTGCTTTGCCAACCAGTTCCTCCCAGTCATGCGGGTCCAGCAGATCTTTGCACAGAGCAAGAAAACACACTTTTCTCAAAGAACAGCAGCCTCAACTTCTTTGTGCCAGGATGAGAGAGAGCCAGAAAAGCCAATCTATGAAATCCATAAAGGTTCCTCATGTCTTCATTTTAAGCTGCACTGTTGGTGATGGCAAGATGATAGTTTCCAGGGTGCAAGCATTGTTGGGTGTCTGCCTGGAGGTTTGATTTTAGAGACAGCCGCAGTTTGTACCTGAAAGGCTAGAAGGAAGTGGCGTGTGTGTGTGTGTGTGTGTGTGTGTGTGTGTGTGTGTGTGTGTGTGTGTGTGTGTGTACGCACTGCAAGCAATCAGCTGTCTTTCTGGAAGGGAAATACTGAAAGGAGAGAGGGCAGTCACCAAAGCTTAAATAAAATACTGGTTACTTTTAAAATTTTTGTTTCTCTTCTCTCCTCTCCTAAATGCCTATTGGAGAAGTTACCCCTTAGAAACAGATCTTGGAGCAGGCTCTAAAATGCTTTGCTAGCTTTTCTGACTCTGATCCTCAACAGTTTGTGACCTGTAATATTTCATGAAATCAGAGCTGGTGGGAAAATCTAGTGCATTCAGTCTGTGAGACTGCCTTATCAGCAGGGTGCTGTATAAGGGATGCCCAAGGCCACTCAGCCTCTCTTCAAGTTTAGATTCTCTTCACTAGGTTTCCAAAATTCCCCTTTACTGACCTAAACAAACTTCTTATCTGCTGAGTGGTAAGTGACTGAGTCTAGACCAGAAAAATCTTTTCCTCTGGCATCAGAAATAGCAATTTTCTGTGTTGTCCAGAGGAAAGTTAATTTAATTTCCTTCTACCTTGTACTAACAAAAATAGAAATTGTTTGTCTAAGCTAATTGTTCAGCATATGCTCATATTTTCTCCTTGTATTCACTAATCCTAGGTCCAGAGTCCTAAACATTGACAAAGTACCCCATTAGAATACCTGGTGTGTAACAGCTTGTTATTACAGAAATGGTGTTGTACATGCAACAGACCAAACACTCTATATTGCATTATAATATGAACATACTCTTTACAGTGCTATGGGAAAGTAGGTGAAGTGGCAAATGCATGTGTACACATCTGGCGGTGGTCTTCTGGGTAGAAGGCCATTATGCATCTGGTAAACCAACCCCATCTACAGGTAGGCATGTTTGCTTCCTCTGCCTCACTACTTCGTCTGCTGGTTCTACCCTACAGCTGAACTTTTACCATCATGGGTAAATATTTACCTTTGAGTCTCTAGTGAAAACATTATCAGATTCTAAAATATCTGTCCCACATTCCATCTAAATTGTGTTTATGCCTTAATGCAATACCCTTAGCCTCTGGAAGTCAGGAGCCATGCCTAGAGTGAGAACATCTTTCAGTGGTCATAAAACCCACAGTATGCAATAATTCAGTTGCTGCATAGACAGCAAATGCATTGGATTGTATATGCTCACACACTTCATGTCCTCTTTAACTCCACAAGGTCTCCTCCATCTCTGACTCGGGTGCTGTTTCTCTCTCTGTCTTTCTGTGTAGGTGTGTATGTTTTTCCTAGGTTTTCATTTGTTTATAAGAACATTGCAGTGGAACTGTTGTTTGTAAAGACAATCTAGCTGGAAAACATCTTTTCATGATGATATACACAATTGGCTTTTCTTTTCTCTGGCATCCTTCCCTTCTTTTTTTACAAATCTACTTTTTAAAAAGTATCCCTTACCACCCCCACCCCACCACAGTGGACTTTTTTCTTTCTTTTTTTTTTTCTTTTTGCCATATTATCCAGCTGTCTTTATGGAAAACTACATTACTGTTCCACATCTTTGTTAAGTTGATTAGAAATTAAATCTCCCTTCTAGACTATAATTTGTCTACAGTGTTTCTAAAAAGATCGGATATAAGAACTGTAGCAAAAGCTATTCAAGTGAGTTGAAAGGCAGGTACGGAATAGGTTCTGAAAGTACTATTTGTGATGACAAGATGAGACAGTTTCTCTTTAAATCATTCTGCCAGTTTTTGAGTCCCTCCCTGAATGGTTGTTTGTCACATAAACTAGGAGCCTTGGGACAACACTAGGTGACACCTTATGTGTCACACACACAGTGTTAAATGAACTACTTGTTATCATCTCCCTTCTTTGAGGAGCCAAGCAGAGACATCACACAGTGTTCTGTTTTTTAATTGGGTTAAAAAAAAGAAGGCAAACCAAATGAGCTTCTGTGGTTCTATGCACAATTTTCCTGGGCATTGTAAATGCATCCCCAGACTCTTGCTCCTTCTGGACATAGCCTTGTGACCTACCATCTGGTGCCACAGATTTCTTTTTAAAGATGATTTAGAGAGCTTCCATGCTATTAGTCCCTTGAAAGTAATACTCATGAGCTTCTCGGATGTCTCAATCGCTCTGGGCCTGCTTCCCAGGTGTTTTGTAAAAATTGATCTAGAAGAATAGTTAGATTATGTGCCTCCCAAGCCTATTTCTGCTGTAGACAAAGAAACAGCATGAAATAATGGCTGGTATTTTGAACAGAGCTGGGGATTTGGACTCTACTCTCCCGTTTGTTGCTTAAGTCCTGTGTGACTTTAGACAGATTGTTACACCTCTGCTTTAATTTCCTACTGAACATCCCCACACACCACAAGTACATACATGCGTGAACTGGCTTAATTGATTTCTGTCATTAACAGATGCTGCTTGATAATACACAGATGAGTTTGATTATAATTCACTAAGTTATATAACTAAATGGTAGTAATGCTTTTCAGTGGCTGCAAGCCTTCTTTCCCTAATATTTTTCCTTGTATAATGGAATGAGCATGTTTCTATGTGTCCATAAAGAATCAAGCTTCAAAACTGTACTTTAATAAACATACATTAAAATACTTGAATTCATAAAATACTGTTTATGTTATTATGTCTGTAATTAAATTTCATTTTACCTTTTAAACTTATTTTAATAATAGCATGGTATTCACAAAAGTCACTTAATTAACCCTTTAACACTAATATGTTTAATGTATTGTGAAACACAACCCAATGTATGTTCCATCTGGTTCAAAATTGTAAAATATAAATTGTATTACCTTATTTTAAGATAGTTTGATTATATTATTAATAGCTTCTCAATACCAAGTACGATGATTTAGAATGTATGTTAAGCATGAATGTACATAATATATTAATACATAAGAGTTTTTATCGTATAATCCATATGATATACAATACGAAACCTATTCTGATTGATTAAACAATGTTAATGGTGACTACATTTAAGAGAATAAACAATTTTTGAGAAATGTTAAGATAATAATTTATTAGTATTTATGTTATGAACATGCAGTCAAGTAATTTATTTGTTATTTTTTAATCCTTGTGGCAGTTTTAGAATATAATTATTATGACAAAAATTTTGCAAGGTTACATGATGTCTGGTGTGGTTATTGGACTCTGAACTGTGATGTAGAATATATATGATTTTTGTCTTCTGGTATACCCTTCTTCCACGAATGGATGGATTGACTAATCAATCAGTTAATTAGTCAAGACCTATCATCTAATTGTGCTTAATTCAGCCAACAAACTGATAACCACGGAAACATTGTTAGAGATATGGATTTGTGATATTACTAATTTTTTTTGGTGTTTAAAAAGTTCTTTAACCTGTTAGTACTGTCCATACAAACAAACCCATTTTACCTATGTTTGAATAGCTTAACTATCTCAATTTGTAGACTTAAAATATATTGCATATGTAATTATATATATATATATACCTGAAAACATAAATAATCTTTTAGTATGTGTGTGTGTGTGTGTGTGTGTGTGTGTGTGTGTGTGTGTGTGTGTGTGATCGGTGTGTGGAGGGGGCACATGTGTCATGGATCAAATATGGAGGTTAGAGTACAATTTTGTGGAGTCAAATCTCTCTTTCCACCTTTGCATTGGATTCAGGGTTGAAAGCAAATTGCCTGTTTTATGGGGCAACTATATTGTAGGCTAAGCCATATAAGTAAGTAATCTTGAGGACACCAGGATCACATAGTGTTTTCTTGTTTGTTTGTTTGTCTCTTTTACTTACTAACTGAAAGTAAGAGGGAGAAATCAGTAATCCAAACTCTCAAAATACCCTCATTTCTTAAAAATGGATTAAATTTTGATATCAAAATTTTCTGATATTAGAAGATAACTTAAGAAAAGAGCACCCTTTCTTATGCTCTAATTTTAGGATCAAATCCTGATTTCAAGTATTGCAGTAAGTGTTGACTTCTTTCTTTTCAATTATTTACTAATTTTCAAATATGCGATTTTTAAAAGAAGCTTGTCATTTTGGTAATGTATAAGTATATTACAGCTATATTAGGAAAACTAAAATATGCTGTTTTATTTTCTTCATTACTTTAGAAATTAAATTATGAGGTCAATAGAGAATCAGCATACTGGTTCTTTGTTAAATTGCTAGACATTTAATATAATAAGAAAAATGTACATTTACATGTCCTATATCAAGTAAAATACAGATAAGCTAAGTTATTATAGTAAGAATTTCTATTCTAAAGCATGTTCTGTGTAATTCATAAATAGGAGTTTTGTGAATATTATTCTTAACTAATTAGTATCTTTCATAATTTGGAAAATTTTGTGCAAAAACATTTTACATATCTTTACCTATATATCCATGAAGGAAGGCAATAGGGTCAAATGGTCCTTTTCTTTTCATAATTTAATATTATTTAACAAAGATAATTATAGCTGGGTGAAGTCACTAGAAAAGCCCAGGCTTAATTATAGCTAACATTTTCAACTTTCACTCCT